TATGGTGGAAGAACAAGTGATAGGTTTATTACAAGAGATAGTGGTATATATAATCTACTAGAGAGAGATGATGAAGTTATGGCTGATCGAGGTTTTCAAATTTAGGAAGATTTAATTTTAAATTTCTGTACTTTAGTTGTTCCACCTGGTGCCCGCTTGAAAAGTCAATTGACCACCAAAGAAGTTCAAAAAACTAAACATGTTGCAAATCTAAGAATACATGTAGAGCGAGCTATTAACCGAATTAAAACATACAGAATTCTAAATGGAAGTATGTCAATTAGCATGCTGCAACATGCAGATGATTTTACTAACATGTGGTGCACTTTGTAATTTAAAACAACAACTGATAGCAGACCCTAAACCAATAATAAGTACTCATTAAGTAAATTTCTTGTTGAGTCTTTTTTTTTTTTTTTTTTTTTTTTATGCAAAAAGGTTTTTTGTTTTTGTTTTATTAATACTTGTACATGTATTGTATCTATTAATGTACCTTTGGGTGCATAAAGTATTTTATGATTTTAAATATTTTTACTATAAAACTATTTTTATAAAACTATTTTTATAGAATCATAAAAGATTCTATTTTTTTAAAACTTTTTCGGTATGTAACTTGTAGTTTTCCTATATTTTTAAAGGCAATTAAGGAGCTAAAATAATATTTTAAAAAGGAGGAAACAAAGGAACTCAAATATAATAGAGGTTGATTGGTTAATAGGAGGTAGAATAATTTACATATAAATCTCTATCGCTGTATTTAGTAGATACAAAACAAATCTAGTACCTTTTTTTAAAGTTGAAGGATCTTCAAATTTAAAATCAGCTACAGGCAGCATAAATTATAGCAACGACACTGATTTTCGCAATAAGGAAATTATTATTTTGGCTTAGACAGTAATGACTTTTTTTTAGGGGTTAATATAGCATATTGCCGATTAAAAAAAATTTGATTTTTTATATTTTCTGACTAGGTCAAACCATGTCCATATTTGCCAACTAAAAATCAAGACTGGGGTGGGGAGAGATGTTTCACCTCAGCGGAGGCAGAGCGTTTTTAAAAGTGGGGCAGGGGAGGGGGAAGCATTCCAATTTCGCCCCTCCCTTCTCCGAATGTTTTAGGAGCAACCGTGGTGCAGTAGTCAGTTCGCTTACTTTAGAGGTTAGAAATAAAGTTAATCTTAAATAACCTTTGTTTCTGTTAATTTAAAAAAGTTCAGGGGGCTAATAACAAGGTTCCTTGACTAAATTTTGAGTTTCATTTCACGAATATTATTGTCATTGTATGACATCAGGGGTAAAAATAATCTGAAAAATATCTTTAAAGTTACGGAGGGGGCAAAAGCTACTTAAATGAATAGTGAGGTTGCGCATGGCCCCTATCGCCGGTCCTGACTTCAACTGTTACTACTACTTTGGGTGTTGAGGGGCAGATGCCTTCACTTACAAAATTCGTTATTTTTTTCAAAATTTGTTATTTCTTTTCAAAAATTGTTAATTTTTGAAACAAAACGTAAAATCTCAAAAAGTAAAAATACGAACCTACAATAGCAGTATTTTACTTATTACCTTTTGACCGTATAAATTTTATGAAAGTATAAAAAAATCGAGTCCCCACAGGAGCAGTGGCGGATGAAGACTTCTTGAGGCCTGGGGCTATATTTATTTTTGGAGGTCTTTTTTATGGGCCAGAGCCTAACAATGACTAGAAAAAAAAAAGGTCCTCTAAAATTTTTTGGGGCGTCTAAATTTACGGGGCCAGGGGATATAGCCCCCCCCCTCCTTGATTCGGCACTGAACAGGAGGGGTAAGAATAGAAACATCATGTTACCTTGATAAAAATAAACTTGATAAAAATAAATTACAAAATCAAAGCAAAATCTTCTTAATAAAATTTAATAAATTATAAGAACATAAACTATATGTAATGATGGTAAAAGTTAACTTGTATATATTATGGTTGTATAAATAGCACATATAGGTTAAACAAATGGGGGAAAAAATTTTGTAAAGATTTATATTTAAATTGTGTCCCCCAACATTACAACATAAATTTATCCTCAAACAATATAATGTCGCAGTATTACATATTTTATCCTAACATTACAAAATCAATTTCATTAAGAAAAATAATAATATATTATCTACAATCATAATAAAATTAGAGGAAGATAATAATTAGTGGCATTAGAGCAAAAAACTAAGTTTTTAAAAATATGCTAAAAACCTAAATATAAAGAATTTTTGAAAAGATTTAAATTAGGTGCTAAAAATAGATTTTAAATAGTAATCTTTATAATAATTAATAAATTTTTCCTTTAACAAACTCCACAAAGATACATCAAAATCAATTTTATCTACAACTATGCCATGTGGGGTCCATACAACAAAGTATGTAACACTACACTTTGTAACAGCCATTTGCATCATACATTGGGTGTAATAAGTATGGTTAGTTTTGAGTTTTATATCAACACCCTTTTTTATTAAATATGGTAAATTT